AGTATGCTATTTATTTAATTAAACAATTGTATGACACTTAAATTACATTATTAGATATGAAAAAGAAATATATGTGATCTAATAATATTATTATTGTATTACAAATTTATTAAAATAATTGTATAACTTTTAAGTAGTCTAGTAGTCTTATTATTATGAATAATTAATATGGAAAAGTAAGGAACTATTAACCTATTAGTTGAATTGCAACAATGAATGATTATAATAAACATATGTATTATGTATTACAATTGCAATTTTATATTTGTAGGAGAATAGAAAAAAAGATGTCAAGTGCAGAGTCTTTAGCAGAAGAAACTGATGTTGTTCAAATTCTTCGACAATGGGAAGAAGAACATTTGACACCTACATATGACCCTATACCAACACTTCAAAGACTGGCAGAAATTATAGAATTGGAAACAGAAAATTATTTGAAAATGGATCCAGATCCATTTGATGAAAGACATCCATCACGTACTGATCCAGAGTGTAATTTTGGGCATATATTGAAAGTTTTATTTAGAAAAGATAACTTTATGACCAAGGTAAATTAATAAGTAGTGAAATTCTGGTTGTAATTTATTTTATACAATTATGATATTATAAAATTATTGTTTGATATTTTCCATTCTTACAGCTTATAAATGATTACTTGCGAGATACTTACTGGTCTCGTGCGGGCGTCACAGGTCGTGATGTTAGAAAACTGAATATTGCAGCTTGTCGTCTTATGCTTGATATTCTTCCTGGGTTAGAAACTTCTGCAGTATTTCAACCTGATATGGAAGGACTTATTCATCGCCTTTTTTCATGGGCAGAAAAAAGTATAGAGCCTTTGCAAAGTTATGCAACAGGTCTTGTAGCTGCTGCTATGGAAGTACAAGAGATTGCTACAGGTATGTTTTTAATTTTTTACAAATCTTAAAGTGTCTTGATTTTATTGATCCATATTGAATTATACTAAAAGTATATTTTGAACATACATAACATATTTTGGCCATCGAGACGAGCTTTTTCTATTTTTTCTATCTGACATGTAATGTGTATACTTTTGGTGTGGTGTTGCGTTCAGTGGCAGTTCTCCAGTGGAGCGTACTGCCATAACTAAAGGGTTGGAGAGAACATTTTAAAGTCTACGGAAACTGAAATATCTAAATATCTAAATTATACAATAATGTTGTTTTAGGATTTAGAGAACAAAATGGAAAAATGGTGCCTTTAATGTTACAAAGGCTTCATAAGTTACAGGAGAAGGCACAAGAAGATAGACAACTCGCAGCTAATAATAGACCATTTGCACATTTTGGTGAAGATAGGAATAGTGGAGGAGATGGAGAAAATAAAGGTGTACCTGGGAAAAGAAAAGTAATACTAATATCACGTATTATAATGAGAGAATTATTATGAATCAATTTTAAAAGCTACTATTATCTACAAGATTTAATTAAATAATATTACACTTATATCAATTTGACTTGTTTCAAGGTCCGAGAAAAACGAAAAGAAAATGGAGTTCTTAAAAGTCCCAATCATAGTGATTGTTTTTCTGAGAAAGAAGATGATTATCTTCAGTCTCCCGATGACTCTGCTCCATTACCTAAAAAGAAGAAAAATGATACAGAGTGTGAAACTCCCATAAAGAACGATGTCATGTATTTAGAAATAATGTCTCCACCTTTATCAGTGCCAAAGAGCTTCAATTCTAATAATCAAGTGACACCATCCAAGGCACAAAGCACTCATAGCAGACCAATGAGTGCTTCTTCAGCGCGTTGCAATCTGTCTAAGAACTCTACACCTCTGTCGCAGAGTTCTAGTTCTCCATCTACTCTGTTGGAAGGAAATTCTAATTCGTCATGGGCAGAGATGGAGTCATATGTTATTGGAAATATGCAAATACATCCTCCAACATTATCTACAAGACAGATGTTAATATTGAGGTAAAACCATTGTTATTGTTATATTCGTTTATAATTCTTAAAATCTTGGGGATAATGTTGACAAATGTAAATTAAACTTTAATAATAGATTAATGACACTGCTCCAAAGTGATAATGTAATGAATAACTTGAGTAATTGTACTAATAGTATTTAATTTAATTTTTACTACTGATGTTTTAGTGATATTTATTAAAGAGTTTTTTTTTTTTAATTGTATAACAGGTATCTCACACCAATGGGCGAATATCAAGAATTCTTAGGTCATGTATTTGAACAAAATGCTCTGGAACTAATTCTTAAATATATTAATGTTAGAGAAACCAAGGATAGTCGTCTAGCCTTTGAAGCTCTGAAATATTTAGCTTCTCTTCTCTGCCATAAGAAATTCTCTATTGAGTTCCTCAATGTTGGAGGTTTACAAAAACTATTAGATGTTCCAAGACCCAGTGTTGCAGCAACTGGTGTTTCTATATGTTTATACTACTTAGCATATTGTGAAGATGCAATGGAAAGGGTGTGTCTGCTGCCAAAACATGTTATATCAGATCTTGTTACTTATGCATTGTGGCTCTTAGAACGAAGTCACGATTCTGGGAGATGCCATGCAACAATGTTTTTTGGTTTCTCCTTTCCATTTAAAGTAATATTACAGGAATTTGATGCGCAAGATGGGTTAAGAAAACTTTTCAATGTGGTAAATATTTTTTTGTATCGTAACTTCAATTTATACAAGATGATAATAAGTGTATCAAATGAATCAATTAGTAATTAATCAACTTTCTTTAAGATATCCACATTACCAATCTTAAATTTAGAAGAAGAACCAACATTAAATGATGATGAAGAGTGCGCTTCTAGACAGATAGTTAGACATGTTGCAGTAGCTTTAAAGCGGTATATGGAAGCCCACTTACATCTAAAAGCAGAGCAATTACAGAGAGCTGAAAATGTTAGAGCCGAACGTGATACATTGCAACCATCTTTACCTCCTTATAAAGCTTGTAAATTAAGTAGTGAAGAAGTACAAGCAAAGGTAATACATTTTTAATCCTCACACCCGTCTTTCATTTCTGGAGTTTAATCTGTTTCTCTCTTAATCTAATAATAAAAAATCAATATAATAAAATTATAAATAATTAACTTTATAATAAGTTAAAAATTACGTTATTCACGACATTTGAAACTAATTCAGTTAAATACATTTATGACTTTTAAGCAATGTTTACGACTAAATTAAATTTAATTATCTAAATGGATTTAAAATTATTTCATTATTATCATAGCTGGAAATTCTTCAAGAACTAATGTCTGTAAGAGCAGTATGGCCACCCGTAGAAGAACTACATCGTCTTGGAGGCATAACACTTCTACTGCAAATTATTGCTTTCGCTAGAGAATGGAATTATAGTGGCCGTGTTCACACAACTTCCAGTGCAGAAACAGTTCGTTCCTGTCTTGACGTAATAGCCATTTGTTCTGTCGTGCCAAAAGTAATGCTTTTACTTTGTGAAAGAGTGGATATGCCAGACATGTCGATGACGATGGCAATCAATTTACTTTTGGCTGCCGCAGAGTGTGAAATTATTGCTGATGCTGATGTGCAAAGAGCTGCACTGAGAGCTGTAATTAATTGTGTTTGTGCTCCAATAAACAGGGTAATTAATTAAAGTGAATTTAAAATTAGATTTAACAAATTTCATTTCTTAATTAATAACTTACTTTTTAAATTTCTTTGCCTTAGATTGGTGGTAATGTTGCTAGATATTCAGTAACAGGTTCTGCTAAAAAAAAAGCAAATATTAACAACAGTGAAGAATTGATTCAAAAAATTTGGGAGAGTGTCAGATCCAATAATGGAATAATGGTACAGTAATATTGTGTTTTTATTAATTTAATAATTATAAATTATTAATAATTATTTTATAACATTCAGATGTTTTATATGATACACCCTCATTTCATAATATGATACGCTATTATATTTATCCTTATCTATTTTATAGGTGTTGTTACAATTGATGATGGTGAAAACTCCAATCACAGATGCAGATAGCATAAGAGCATTAGCATGTCGTGCTCTGGCAGGATTAGCACGTAGTGAAAAGGTCAGACAAATTATTAGTAAACTTCCAATGTTTACTGATGGGCAAATTCAGGCTCTAATGAAAGATCCTATACTTCAAGAAAAAAGACAAGAACATGTTATGTTTCAAAAGTATGCTTTAGAGCTAATGGAAAGGGTGTCTGGAAAAGCGAAACCTACTGGAGCAGAATATGAAATTTCTTTAGCTAGTCTACACAGAGTAAGTCGTTTTAACAAATATATAAAATATAATACGCTAGTTAAACGTATTATAGGATTTACTGATAAGCTATAACTTGATACATTAAAAAACATTGTTTTGTTAATAAATTTCTGTTTATAAATTATATGACTTTCGTGTTTTACAGGCAAACGTGGTAGCGCAAACAAGAATACAATACAACGAACAACAGTTGAATCAATTAATATATCAACATTTAATATCAAAAGGTTTAACAGAAACAGCAACAACTCTTCAAAAAGAAGCAACTCTAGATTCCTCAACGACAATGAAACCTATAATAACATATCATCCACTTACCTACCGCAATCCAGTGACCACCGGAGTAAGATATAATAATAAAATTAGTTAAATCTTCTTAACATATAATTTAATGCCATTTTTTAGCCTAGGAATGGATTTTCACCAGGAGCACCTGTTAATTTATACAATACAAGTAGATGTAATCAAAGAGAAGTGGCTTCTCGGGCTAACACTACTCCCACTTCGTCATCGAGATTTATATCCCATTCAGCTACTAGTTCAAGCTCAACATCTCTGACGTCTGCAAATAATCTGCGCTTGAAACTTTCTGACTGTCCCAATCAAAATGCTGTTCCACCTAGCACAAATCAGCCAATTAAACTTCAAATTACAACAAAGTGAGTTTGAAATTTGTAGCATTTTTTAAAATATTAATTATTTAGTAGTAAAAACAATTTTAAAAAATGTGAATAAATGATTTCAGAAAAAATCAAGTTGATAAACAGCCTCTAGTCAATTCTATGAATTGTCAATCTACTATTCAATCGACTACATGCAGATCATTACAAAAACAAATTTCAAGAGATCCTGGAGGCGTCACAGCTGCTGGAGTTGCTACCTCTAATCCATCTACTATAACATTGGATTCTATTATTACAGAATATTTAACTAATCAACATGCACTGTGTAAAAATCCTATGGTTACTTGTCCACAATTTAATCTTTTTGAGTAAGAGTCTTAAATGTTTAATTATTTTTCAATTTAACCGCTTCGCTCCCATGGACGTGTCGTGACACCAATACTGTACGTATAAGATTACAGACGAGATATCTCGCTACATAATGCCACTTGTGCGGTGCCATAGACGTGTCATCCCGCGACGTAATACCGTTCGTGCGGTGCCACAGACGTGTAAATACGCGCTTCTGTTTTTGCTCTCGAATTAAAGCGTGTCTGAACGGTATTATGTCGCAGGATAATACGTCTGTGGCACCACATAAGCGGCATTACGTCGCGAGATATCTCTTGTGTGATCTTATACGGTATCGGTGTCGCGACATAACACGTCCATGGGTGCGAAGCAGTTAAATTATATTTTATTCATATTTATTTTAATAACAAAAAAATATTGTTGCAGACCACATAAGTGTCCAGATCCTTGTACAAAGAATTCAACACCAACAAATGTAACTGTAAGACTGGCGAGAAGAGCATTAGGTATAGATGGTAGAAGATTGGATAGAAGACATATTTATAGTCGGTTTTGCCCTGTAAAAACTTTCAGGCCTACGGACGTTGGAAGTTTTACCTGTTGCATTTTTTTGGTATACTAAAAACAATTAATTTATAATACATAATTTTAATTATTATGTGCATGTATATCACGTGATTTTGCAATATTTTTACAGCCTTGTCAGGACTATCTAATGTTAGGTACTTACGCGGGGGACGTTAAAATGGTCAATGCACATACAGGTTTAGAGGAAGCAACGTATCCATGTCACGAGTCTTATGTTTATCACATGGAATGTAACCAGCGCGGAAATTTATTATTATGTTCTACTGTATGGAGAAGCCCTATGTCCGCACTTTGGAGCATAGGAACTTTCTTTGATTTAAAATTGTCTTTAGAAAATGAAGATTATGTTGAATTTGGAAAGCTCCAAGATAGAATTATTGGAACTCAAGGTGAAAGTGCTACGGTATGTTCTTTTGTATGAAATAATAAGGAAATGGAGAACATGAACTTTTCTTACAATTATATTGTTTTCTATAATATTTTGTAAAACATAAAAAAAGTAAAAGATAAGTTATTGTAATCTTTATTTTCAGATTTATGATATAGCAACTGGAAAACTATTAACTACTCTTACACCTGCAATTTCTAATCAATACACCAAAAATCGAGCTACGTTCAGTATGAATGATGAACTAGTTTTAAGTGATGGAATTCTGTGGGATGTAAATTCAGGAAAAGAAATTCACAAATTTGATAAATTAAATCAAACACTTAACGGAGTTTTCCATCCTAATGGTAATTACATATAATTTATTCATAATATATTCATTGTTTAATGACACGAATATTTTACAATTACATAGTACTAAAATTAATTTCAATTAAACAGGTACAGAGGTGGTATCAAATACAGAAGTTTGGGATTTAAGAACTTTCCATTTATTGAAAACAGTGCCAACACTTGATCAAATGGAAGTAATATTTTCACCAGTTAATAATATTATATATGCAGTACCTTTGGATCAAGAAAATAGAGACGAATCACATTATGTTACTTCATTTAAAACATTAGATGCTTTGGATTACAGTAATGTTGGTAAGTGTTATTTAATTGGTATAGTCAAATAAGTGTCGTAAAAAGAAATTCAAAGACGATTTTAAAAAAATTGGAAACCTTTGAAAACATCAAATCAAATCAATTAACCACGTTGTTGTTCGTATATTCGTAACAACGACTCTCATCCAAAAAATAAATTTACATTGTACACCTTTTTCAACAGTCTAAGTGTTCGAAGTTTTACATCATGTCCAAGTATTTAGAACTACATATAATGACCATATAATGAGTAAACTATAACGATGATAAGAATTCTACACTCCTTTGTGTATGAAAACTCAACCAATGTCAGTTTTCAAACTTTTTTAATGCGATACGTTATCATAATAAGACATTAATACTGCAAAAATTTACATATATTTATCTAATAATTTCAATACAAAAATAACATTAATTTCTTAAATTCTTTAAAATTTTATCTTGTATTCAAAAATTTTTGAAAAGTTCACAAGAATGTAAGCAAATAAAATATCTCCGTTTTGTTTGTCGTACATCTACCCTAATAATGCTGTTTAATACCTCGCAGCAAAGATTTTTGTTGACGGATTTATCAAATAATTTGATTTTTGTGCTAATTTTACAAGGTTTATTATGGTATACCCGTTCATGAAATCATAATCCAATTGGTATTAAAATAGTAATTGTATTTCATATAATTTTGATTACAGCGACTTGCGACGTCAAAAGAGGGATTTACGGACTGGCTTGTAATAAATTCGACACACAAATAGCCATAGTTGAAAATCAGGGTGAATTTGATAGTATCCAAGAATCTTGCGTTAGGTTGTACGATGTCGGTAGAAGGAGAGATGATGAGGATGAAGCTGATGAAGACGATGATGAAGATGATCTTGATGCAAGCGAAGATGATGGCTCAAATTCTGGCTCTGATGATAATAATGCTAATGGTACGTGATCTTAATTGAATTTATTTTAACAACTTTTAAAAAGTAGACATTATAAGTAAGGTCACTTGTAATGAAATTACAACCGATATTAAGATATACCAATATAAATTCTATCTTAATTAAATTCTTAATTTTTTTCTGATCAAATATACTTAGAATTTGATGTAAGTATTTAGTGCTTTATACGATAAAATTTCTGTATAAGTGACGATAATATTACGGATAACTTGAGCACTTAACACTAACTTTAACACTAACTTTGAACACTTTGGGGATGACTTCGGCAACTTGAACTGATCCTCAAGACTAGGAAACTCGTACTTTAAAGTTTAAGAATTGCCATTGGTTGATACCGCGATGCTTGTTTTGATGTCCATAACGCTCGCGCAATTGTTGGATCATTGGACCGGTGTCGATGCCGTTCTCATTTAACATTTTTTCTTACTGACTATGAATCTATTGATCGATATTGTTCCGTTCGAAATGGTCTGTCCCCAAAGTGTTAATTGGTGATGGCATCTTTTGTATGTGTACAAATTGAATTTTGAAATATAAACGTAAAATAAAATTTGTTGTTGAATAGACGCAGACAATCCAGATGCTGGTGCGGAAGAGAATGGTGATGAAAATGAGCGTAACGATCGTGAAAACAATGATGATGATGACGACGACGACGACGATGACGCAGCCGACGGCGATGATTCCGGGGAAGATCTGACGGATTATAGTCGGTCACCAGATTTTCCAGAGTTTTCTCTTTCTGACGTTGATGTCGATGATTTCGAAATTCTTTTTTCATAAAAATCCTAAAAATAGGATCAAAGATTATGAATTTCTGTTTTAAGCAGTACCAATCATTATTAAAAAGATTTTATTTCACTGTAGGTCAATCGTGAAGTTGAAATATGTTTTATAATTAAATAATGGGGATTCTATTATCAATTACGAATTGGCGAATTGAAAATATGAATGTAAAGCAAAGATAAGATAAAAATAATATAAATAATTAACTAGTAAGAAGTGCTACAAATTTGGTCATTTTATTTAATAATTGAAGGATTGAATAATCACAGTTTTAGTTTCTATTCATTTTTATATTGTAAGATTTTAATTGCAGGAAAAGTAATTTTTAATGAAATATATAAATTTACTGTGTAATTTTGTATCAACTTTGTCATGTAAACTGTATTGTTCATTTCGCCAATATTAGAATTTTTTAACGATTCGTCAATTATTAAAAGTTATAAAGATTGACCACTAAAATGAAACTACAATCAACTTACTCAGCAAAATGCTAAATTTTAAAACGATTGGTTGCTAATGTAATTCTGAATTCTGAACGGACTTCCCGCTCGTCGATTTAAATGTACATATATTATTTAAGGTATTTGTTGTTCAATGAACAAGTATCATATATTCACTATTAAAAAGCTGATTCTCAATAAGAGATTTTCTTCATCTTCAAGATACTCACAAGAAGTTATATCGATCGGATTGATCATGTTGAAAAATCATTGAAATCGAAGTTCGATTATTTGAAACCTTAATGAATTACAACAGTACATTTTTGAAATTTTTTGAATATATTCTTATGTATATGAAATAATATGTACGGGAGAGAGAAATTGAGGGAAGGAAAAGTGAGAGAGAGAAGGATGGGTGGACGGGAGGAAAACAGACAGGAAAGAGGCGTATGTGTATGCGTGTGCGTGTATGCGTGTGCGAGTAAGAGAGATTGTAAAAAGTTGATTTAATCCTGTCGTTTGTTATCAATAATAAAAAATCGTGAATTTGTATAGACTTGCTCTAATAAAATAGAACCGCGCTTTATGAAAAAGTTTCAGTAAACTTATCAATATTTTCGTTTCACAAGTTTAACAACAAACATATTTAATTTTTTTTGCATTTTTCAGTTTTAGGAAAATATTTTGGTAAGCGATATTTTTCATATTATTCATAAGTAAAAACTGACTTTAGTACTGAGCTAAAAATATTACATTCAAACGTACAATATTTGATATTATTATAATGTTGTGCCGATGTTTAATCTCATAATAAAAGATTATCTTTTCTTATTGGATATATAATAATTATAAATATCTTATTTGCTTTCATGTTAAAACTATGCATGAATGAAAACAATATACAGTCATGCCTCAACATAGTAAGCATTTCTGCTTCACCATAGTAAGCCTATGCGGGGGCAACCGGCTTAGAATTATGAAGTAGGTAGAGAGACTGCGCTGCTCCTTTGATTGATGCTTCATAGCTAAATAGTACTGCCCTCACAGTTTTAGATAAAGAGAGGAAGTGGCGACTGAGCAAGAGATCACGACCAATGTAGCTTGTCCCACTTTACCATGCTTGCGATCTCACCCTATTCGCGCATCCGTTTACCTGGTGTTCCATCTGAAACACTAGACGTAATATTCGACTTGTACTTTTGGCCACGTAGGATTCTCGATCACGCAGCCAGCGTATTTGCGAACGTCTTGAAACGACGACCATTTCTACGATTATTAAAATTTTCGAAAACCTGTAAACTACATTTTAGCTAATGGTTTCTACTTTATGAATCTACAAAATTTTGTTAATTCAATTATCCCACTACTAATCGATTGGGCGGCCAGCAATCAACGCTCTACTCTACGAGTAATATTCTAGAAAGTAACGAATAATTTCGTAATTTTATACGAAATGGCTGTGTTATTTGTAGCTGTGTTACAAAGAAAACTGTATTTTTTATTTAGACATCGATATTTTTATTCTGGAGTGAATAAGGACGAACTTTCCTGCTTGCATGAATTTGAGGCCCTGAAAAGGACCGTTATTATTAAATAGTGGATCCTGTGGAACCTAAGAAGCTGTTGCTTCNTTTTTTAACGATTCGTCAATTATTAAAAGTTATAAAGATTGACCACTAAAATGAAACTACAATCAACTTACTCAGCAAAATGCTAAATTTTAAAACGATTGGTTGCTAATGTAATTCTGAATTCTGAACGGACTTCCCGCTCGTCGATTTAAATGTACATATATTATTTAAGGTATTTGTTGTTCAATGAACAAGTATCATATATTCACTATTAAAAAGCTGATTCTCAATAAGAGATTTTCTTCATCTTCAAGATACTCACAAGAAGTTATATCGATCGGATTGATCATGTTGAAAAATCATTGAAATCGAAGTTCGATTATTTGAAACCTTAATGAATTACAACAGTACATTTTTGAAATTTTTTGAATATATTCTTATGTATATGAAATAATATGTACGGGAGAGAGAAATTGAGGGAAGGAAAAGTGAGAGAGAGAAGGATGGGTGGACGGGAGGAAAACAGACAGGAAAGAGGCGTATGTGTATGCGTGTGCGTGTATGCGTGTGCGAGTAAGAGAGATTGTAAAAAGTTGATTTAATCCTGTCGTTTGTTATCAATAATAAAAAATCGTGAATTTGTATAGACTTGCTCTAATAAAATAGAACCGCGCTTTATGAAAAAGTTTCAGTAAACTTATCAATATTTTCGTTTCACAAGTTTAACAACAAACATATTTAATTTTTTTTGCATTTTTCAGTTTTAGGAAAATATTTTGGTAAGCGATATTTTTCATATTATTCATAAGTAAAAACTGACTTTAGTACTGAGCTAAAAATATTACATTCAAACGTACAATATTTGATATTATTATAATGTTGTGCCGATGTTTAATCTCATAATAAAAGATTATCTTTTCTTATTGGATATATAATAATTATAAATATCTTATTTGCTTTCATGTTAAAACTATGCATGAATGAAAACAATATACAGTCATGCCTCAACATAGTAAGCATTTCTGCTTCACCATAGTAAGCCTATGCGGGGGCAACCGGCTTAGAATTATGAAGTAGGTAGAGAGACTGCGCTGCTCCTTTGATTGATGCTTCATAGCTAAATAGTACTGCCCTCACAGTTTTAGATAAAGAGAGGAAGTGGCGACTGAGCAAGAGATCACGACCAATGTAGCTTGTCCCACTTTACCATGCTTGCGATCTCACCCTATTCGCGCATCCGTTTACCTGGTGTTCCATCTGAAACACTAGACGTAATATTCGACTTGTACTTTTGGCCACGTAGGATTCTCGATCACGCAGCCAGCGTATTTGCGAACGTCTTGAAACGACGACCATTTCTACGATTATTAAAATTTTCGAAAACCTGTAAACTACATTTTAGCTAATGGTTTCTACTTTATGAATCTACAAAATTTTGTTAATTCAATTATCCCACTACTAATCGATTGGGCGGCCAGCAATCAACGCTCTACTCTACGAGTAATATTCTAGAAAGTAACGAATAATTTCGTAATTTTATACGAAATGGCTGTGTTATTTGTAGCTGTGTTACAAAGAAAACTGTATTTTTTATTTAGACATCGATATTTTTATTCTGGAGTGAATAAGGACGAACTTTCCTGCTTGCATGAATTTGAGGCCCTGAAAAGGACCGTTATTATTAAATAGTGGATCCTGTGGAACCTAAGAAGCTGTTGCTTCTATAGTTCGATCGGAAAAGGCGAAAAGTCAAATTTCGCAGCCCGTAATTCTCGAGCGCCATACTTTCACGTCCAGGCGAAATCCCACCACCAGCCCCATCTTGCATACTTCGAGGCCCGAGATTTGGGATTGTGAATCGCCCGGCCTGGCGGGCCCGTAGCAATGTTCGAAATTATTTGAATTAATTTAAATAAATATTTCTCTAATAATTATATTATGTCTGAATGAATTCTTATCTGTCTAATATTTTATTCGAATAACGATTATTTAATAACAAACTATTCCATTTTCGTCTATTTATTTGATCAAGTTATTCCATCTATTTATTCGATCAAGCTGTTCTATCTACTTATCGGATCCGATCCAAATTATTTTCTTTACCATCTAATATGCAGACTTTCAATTTGCTATTATGCTATGAAATAAGGGTTTCGGGGGAAAAGGTATCTAGACCTGCAATAAAAGGATTAACGGTACCTGAGGAAACTCCTTCCAAGCCCTACCTTGTGATTTACAACCTCCTGTATTTCATAGGCTTCGCTATTTAATTTTCCCTTTTCAGAGTAGAGATACCATTAGTTAAAGTGCAGCTTACAGATTTTCGAAAATCGTTTTAAGACGTTTGTAAATACACTGGACTGTGTGGTCGAGAATCCTACAGGGCGAAAAGTACAAGTCGAATATCACGCCGAGTGTTTCAGATGGAGCACCAGGCGAATAGAATGAGATCGCAAGCATGGTAAAGCAATCAAGGCAAGGTAAGGCAAGGTAAGGCAAGCTACATTGGTCGTCGGTGTGACTTATTTCACTTGTGTTGTGCTGACATCATGCTCTCTTGCTCACTCATCTTCCTCTCTTTGTCTAAAACTGTGGGAGCAACTCTGTTTAGCTATGAGGTGTCAACCAATTAGAGAAGAAGCAGTTTCTCTACCTGCTTCGTAATTTTAAGCCAGTTGCCTCGCATGTGCTCACTATGGTGAAACACTACTGTGCACAATAATTATGTTCATATGTAACTACAGTAATAGGTCCTGTTTCTGCACGCTTTTCTTACTAAGTTGGCGCGTACATCCTCATCATTTTATTCCGCATCCAATCTGCAGTGGATCCTGTCTCAGCATTGAATCGTCAGCCAATCAGAGCAAAGAAAATTTCTACATCAATTCTCGCTAACGAATCAAGCTGCGGTCTGAAGTTGTGCAGAAGTTGGATCCATTATTATATATATGTATATACACAGTGAATTTTCGTTCTATGAAGTTGGTTACATTGATTTCCCTTGAGGTGGTCGTTCTCAATTCTCAGTGCTCACAGAGGACTTAAGAATACTCTGTGGTAGACGAGAGACCTAGTGACGCTGTGTTCTGTCTGTGGGTGCCGCGACACTCCGCGGTTCGCGTTTGATTCATATCAGTTATTTTCCTATTTACTACAAAAAAAATCGGTTAAAATGTCTACATTACCACACAGCAAGAAGCGTGTATGCTACTACTACGATAGTGAGTAAAAAAATTACAAAATTTTCTAGTAATTCACGATCCCGCGAAAACATTTTACACGCACGAAGAGATTGTCAAAATGTGTTTGTGCTATCCGCGCTTGTGTCGTTTACAATAGATACCTTTCATATTCATTAATAAAATTTAGAGCATATCTACATTAATTAAACCCAACTTTCTTAAAAATGCATCAAATACTTTCGTTTTGTTCATGATACTTGATATTTATGCCATTCTTTCTACCTTCCAGTACGGTTTTGGCATGGTTAACGCGAAAGATTTACAGGCGTAGCTCCATGCTACCGTACTTGAAGCAGGAAAGCGTCGGCTTTATCTGCCTATCTATGTCTTTCACGTTCCACTACTATTCATTCTTAATTGAAATGTTTCTGTAAAATTTTCATAGAAATATTTATAATTTTATTTTATTTCAATTTTGCCGATTACGTATCCTAATACATTAATTACATGTACATTATCGAAATTTAATAACCACTCACGTTACATTAGCGAACCATGAATTACATATAATATTGCTTATAATTACACATAATTTAATGAAATGGTTTTTTGTCATTCAAATTGATTTTATTCACAATTATTTCGATTTTAATAAATAATATTAATATTTTAAATGAATCACAGTAATTGTAGGTTATGGTATACTAGTTGGTAATTGCATTGAAATTTTTTATCAGCATGAATACAAATACACTAATTTACAAAATCGTTCTGTATTTGCTAGAAATTCTCTAATAACAGTACGACTTCAATCATTGAAACTTGAATAATACTCTTTTCGACTAGTTACGCGAAAGATTCTTAAGTACACTCCGGTTGACCGTACTTACCAAGCGATATGGAAGCGGGTTTTACTATTTATGCAATTATATATATTTATACATTATATATTTTTATACATTTTCTTAATAAAATAAAGCATTAAAATATTGTCTTATTTCAGGTGATATTGGCAATTATTACTATGGACAAGGACATCCTATGAAACCACATCGTATAAGGATGACACATAACTTACTTCTCAATTATGGTCTTTATAGGAAAATGGAGATTTATGTAAGAATCCTTTATTTAGTTAATCTTAGAAATCATTGTGTAAATAGCTAATATCAAATGTGATTACAGACAAGTGTAATTTAAAGTAAATTATTATTTTTTTTATCTAGCGACCTCATAAAGCTACTGCAGATGAAATGACAAAGTTCCATAGTGATGAATATATTAGGTTTTTGAGGTCCATAAGGCCTGATAATATGTCAGAGTATAACAAACAAATGCAAAGATGTAAGTTCATACAGTTAACATTTATTATTAAAGTTATATAGCAAAACTATGTTATGTTTAAAAAAAATTCTAAAATTAACTTTTTTCTTTCTACAGTTAATGTAGGAGAGGACTGTCCTGTTTTTGATGGATTATATGAGTTTTGTCAATTATCAGCTGGTGGATCTGTAGCTGCTGCTGTAAAACTTAATAAACAAGCTTCTGAAATTTGTATAAATTGGGGTGGTGGATTACATCATGCCAAAAAAAGTGAAGCATCTGGTTTTTGTTATGTAAATGACATCGTTTTGGGAATCTTAGAACTGCTTAAATATCATCAAAGAGTTTTATACATTGATATCGATGTTCACCATGGGGATGGTGTAGAAGAAGCATTTTATACCACTGACAGAGTGATGACTGTTTCTTTCCATAAATACGGTGAATATTTTCCTGGTACCGGTGATCTCCGTGATATTGGTGCAGGAAAGGTAAAGAATTTGTGGGAACTTAAATGCATTTATTTGGATATTATTCAGTTATAATAATACGCTTTTTTTAAACAGGGGAAATATTATGCAGTCAATATACCACTAAGAGACGGTATGGATGATGAAAGTTATGAGTCAATATTTGTACCTATTATTTCAAAAGTAATGGAAACATTTCAGCCCTCTGCAGTTGTTTTACAGTGTGGTGCCGATTCATTAACAGGTATAATTTAGTACATATGTATTTGGTACACCATTTTGTAAGACTCACATTATAATCATCTTGTTCTGTATTATTTTTAGGAGACAGGCTGGGATGTTTTAATCTTACAGTGAGAGGTCATGGTAAATGTGTCGAATTTGTAAAAAAGTATAATTTACCATTTTTAATGGTTGGTGGTGGCGGATACACAATAAGAAATGTCTCTAGATGTTGGACGTACGAAACATCGGTAGCTCTTGGTTCTGAAATTGCAAATGAGTTACCTTATAATGATTATTTTGAATACTTTGGACCTGATTTTAAGCTGCATATTAGTCCCTCTAACATGGCAAATCAAAATACTCCAGAATATCTTGAAAAAATAAAGTACGTTTTATTGAAAGATTGATGAATGTATTATTAACGTCCTTTAAAAAATAGTTTTCATTTTATGTATTAATTACGTTATAGGACCAGATTATTCGAAAATCTGCGGATGTTGCCACATGCACCAGGTGTACAAGTTCAACCTATCCCAGAAGATGGTGCAGTGATCGAAGATTCAGAGGCTGAAGAGAAAGTGAATCCAGATGAACGGTTACCACAACGTGATCTGGATAAAAGGATACAACATGAAAATGAATACAGCGATAGCGAAGAGGAAGGAGAAGGAGGGCGAAGAGATAATAGATCTTTCAAGGTAACATTTTTAATTTTACGAAAATGAATTTTTTTTTATTTTAGAATTTTATTTTATTCAACAGATATTATGTTAATCTGATTTATATACATTCATCCTAAAATTGTATTACTTTTCAATTAGGGTTCCAGAAAACGACCGCGCTTAGAGAAAGGTCAAGAAGGTATAGAAGGAGATCTTAAAAAGGAAGAAGATATAAAATCGGAACCAAAAGGTACTTAAATAATGCGTCTTCCTCTGCATAGGGGTACAGTTTTTTTCATGGTTTTATTACAAAACTTTTAATAATGGTTTTTACAGAAAACGAAAAGGATGAGAAAACAAATATCACAAACGAAGAAACAAAGAAGGATGGTGGCGCGAATCCCTGATAAACGGTTGCCATTCTACATTTAAGAAATTGGAAAAAGTCCTTATTTAAATCAAGTATAGATAAGTATAGGTAACTTAAGTCACGAAAAAACGATATGCGTTGCCACAAATTCAATATATGATACGAAATTTCCTTTATAATTTTTCACTATTCCAGTTAAAAATCATATACTTCAATAGTAAAATGTATCAGTTGAATTCGTGGCAAGCGATGTTGTGATCGCGTACACGTATGAGCGTGTAATTGACTCCAAGCGCTCTGCAATTTTAATTGTTATCTCATTAAATTTACAGAGGTCTTTCGGTATTCTTAACTTGACAGTTCATGAAATGACCGATTCTTAAAATATTTTTCGAATCGTAGAATACCCTGAATAGTCTGATTATTTTTACGATTTGATTAAATCCATTTTCGTATCTAGACATACCGAATACACCTAATCAGTTAGATGAAGGCACATTAATTACAGAGACAATTTTCATAACTGTAAAGATCATATTTTACAACATTTATTCGACGTTTTCATTGAAATCATAGATCGTCAGAGAGTAGTTTTAGATATCTAAATTTATCATTTGTATATTTCGATAAATCGTGCAGAAATATAACAAATCTTAATAGAACTGTTTAATAAGCCCAATTACAATAACAAGATGACTGTACAACGGGCAAATATTATGGGTTAACAAATTGTTTGCTTTCTATTCTTGTACATAATGAAAAATCAGATTTAAACAAAGTCCTACATGCAATAATACATATACATATATAACAAACATTACAATATTCTTTTTGATATGTAAAGTGTTTTATTTTATATGAGAAATTTGATTGAATGACCAGTAAATAAGAAAGTTTGAAGGAATTATTAGAACGGTCAATGAACATATTGGATTCAAATGTAGATGTAAAGTTTTGATTGTAAGTTCAGCAAAAGTAATTTTTAAGTGTTCAACATTACGTATGCGATGTGGTCGATTTATATTTGTGCGTTGAGATTGCAAAAGCATTCTTGTCTACAAAGAAAGGAAATGGAAAAAAGAAATAGTGTTACCCTCCAAGCGCGTTACTTTAGATATTTGCGCGAGAATAAAGATACATTAACAACTTTGTGTATATAAAATTGAAATCTTTGAGCCTCAAAAATATTTCAGAATGAAACTAAACTTGTTTAGTTCTACGATGATGGATAATTGATCGAAAGGAGGTGTGTTGATTCAGATCTAGCTGTAATTACTACCATTACTTGTAATTAATTATCCATCACCACACAAAGACAAATTCGATATAATATTGCGTATACTAAGTCGGTTTGAGATAGATCAATTACAATATACATATATAAATATATATATTTATGTCCAGACATGAATAACACGAATGTTTTTAAATATTTATAATAAAAAATAAAGAAATTTACCAGGTGTATTAACGTGTTAATTTTTTTCTCCTCATGGCTGGCGGTTACTACGTGGAGCGTGTTTCATGTTCTATTAAAATGGTGGCAGTCTTGAAAAGTCGAGAGACCCCTCGATGCTTTTGTACAACATTAAATACCAAAACTGTATCTTATCAAAACCATAACGGTCGAAGCGTAACTTCGATACGTTCAATATGATAATGAATTATATTATTAGTTCTATACGTAGTTCAGTTGGTGGTACAAAACTAAATAACGAAACAGTAGTTCTAACCTTATATTTGAGCAAGCTTGTGTATTAGAATATGAAAACAATGCGTGATTGACTATAATTTATATTTGTATGAAGATTCATCGTTACCACCAATTAACAAATATTATTTATACGAATGAGATAAATTTAACAACTATATACGAAAACTCTGAACAATTTTGGAAGATTAATCAATGAAAATTTTTTATTATAAAAAAACTGTTTAGATTCATACAGATCTATTAAAATGATTTCTCAGTTGTCACATGTTATGACTCTTGCAAACAGTATCATTGGTGTAAGCGTTCTTGCTATGCCATTCTGTTTCAAACAATGTGGCATTATGCTGGCTACTTTAGTTTTACTAATAAGTAGCCTTCTATCACGACTCGCTTGCCATTTTCTTATTAAGTCAGCTGTGATGTCAAGGCGAAGAAATTTTGAACTCCTAGCATTTCACGCATTTGGTCAAATGGGAAAATTTTTGGTGGAGTTGTTTATCATTGGATTTCTTGTAGGAACATGCATTGCTTTCTTTGTTATTATGGGTGATTTAGGACCACAAATTGTAGGGAAAGTGATAAACAAAAATCCAGAAAATATTAGAACTAGTTTACTTGTAACAACAAGTATTTTCATAGTTTTACCGTTGGGATTGCTTCGAAACATTGATAGTTTATCCAGTCTTTGTACTGCCACAATTATTTTCTACCTTTGTCTTGTATTAAAGGTAAATAATGTCTTTCATTGTGTACAATATTTGAAATAATTCGATAATTAATACATGTCAACTTTTTCTTTCAGATAGTGACAGAGTCTACGCAACATATTTTTGCTGGAGATTGGTATGAACATGTATATTATTGGAGACCTTCTGGTATATTGCAATGTATACCTATTTTTTCTATGGCTTTGTTTTGCCAAACTCAATTATTTGAGATATATGAAAGCATTCCAAATGTGTCATTAGAAAAAATGAATGAAGTTGTACGAGGTGCATTAAATATATGTACTGTTGTTTATTTATGTGTCGGCTTTTTTGGGTACATTGCATTTTGCACACAGCCTTTTACAGGTACTTGTAAAATTTAAAACACAATATTCTTTTAAGTACCATTAATTTATCTGTCATTCAATTTACAGGCAATGTGCTAATGAGCTTTGAACCTAGTTTGTCATCTGAAATGATTAAAATGGGATTTGTGTTCTCCATTGCATTTAGCTTTCCTCTAGTCATTTTTCCATGCCGTGCAAGTTTAAATTCCCTCTTATTTCGTAGGGTTAGTATAGATGTAGTTACATGCAATACAAATAGTATAATATTAATCAGTATTCATATAATTTCTTACAGGTGTATGCCCATGAATCGTCTGCAAATTATTTACCAGAAACAAGATTTAGATGTCTTACTATAGCAATTGTGGCTGTTTCATTGATTACTGGCATCCTAATACCAAATATAGAGTTTGTTCTTGGTTTAGTGGGATCCACAATTGGAGTTATGATATGTTTGATATTCCCAGCAATATTCTTCATATCTATTAGTAGCAAACACACTAATGAAAGACTATTAGCACAAGTAGGGTCACTAAGCAATTTTACCAATTTTATAGCCTCATTTCTTTATTATTAATGTTGGTATATACATTGTTTAGGTGATTTTATTTATTGGCATCTGCATTATGATTCTGAGCACTTATGCAAACTTGTATGCAATGGAAGAATCTGGTAATACGAAAGTATTAATAACAACAAGCAAACCTCTTAGTCAAATTAGTAATTTACCATTAAATTTAAACAAAGATGATCTTAACGTAGTTGCAAGTATTCCTCATGATCATGAGATTCTACCGGATATTAAAGGTACAATAAAATGATTTATATAAATGTTTTTATATATTATAATGAATTTTGAATTAAATATAGTAATATAATCTCGTAAAAATAATAACTTTTTAGAGAAAATAGATCAGTTGCCGGATTTAAATGTACTTGATAAATCTATAAACCTAAAGTCGAAAGATGTACGTCAGGAACCACCGATTCCTGTCGAGCGTATTGTTGTCACAGAAAAGCCAGCAGTAGAAACACAAAAGCCAATCGAAAATGTAGTAGCCACCCTTCTTCCAATAGTGGGAAATGCGAATGAAATGAAACCGTTAAACGCGGACTTGCAGAATAAACCAAAAACTATATTGCAAAATAATGTTGCAGAAATTGTAGATTCTAGTACAACGAAAACAGTAGAAAAAGATACTGTTTTAGAGTTAAAGAAGAATTTCATTGATCCACAAAAAAATGATAATCTTATAAACTCTGATGCCATCAAGAAAGAAGAAACAGAATTGGCTGCGGATGCAGAAATTGTGGACGTATTGGTTGCAGAGACGAAAAAAAAAATTGAAAAAACAAATCTTAAGATATATAGAGAAGAAAGTAAAGGGCAAAAACTAATAAAGGATGTCCAAGCTCCTGGAGAAAATGGAATAAGATTAAAAACTTTCAATAAAAAGTTAATTTTTCAAGATAAAAATATTTCTCAAAATATAAAGATTGGTAATGATAATGAATTTTTAAACAGAACAGAAGAAAATGACAACGTTAGAGCGTTGAAATCAAAATTTGAAAAATCGGAGTCCAACAATGAACTTAATGAGTTGAGGAATAATGAGCATGTTGCAGCTAAACTACTGGAAAATAACGAAAACGTGGAAATCAACGTTCAAAATGAAAATTCTTTGCCAACCAAAAATGTGAATTATAAATCTTCAAGAAATAAAGTGACCGATCAAGAAAAAATTAACGGCTTGAAAGAAGAACCTATTTATTCAAGAGATTTACCAGAGGGTCCTATTTTAAATGCTTTAATAAAACGAAGAATCCATAAATCTATATCTGTGAACGATTTAGCAAATAATAAAAGCGAAACTAATAAAAATCTGTCTAAAAACGATGAAATACCGGCTAACTTGCAAGAAAAATCAGTTCTAAACGGTAAAAGTCGAAAAACACAGTACGAATATTCTGTACCCATTGCTTTACAAATGCGAAATCAAACGAAGATGGAAAATAATTCTATTTTATTAGCAAATAAATCGGAAGAAAATGTTCAAGCAATTCGAAGGGATATTTTAGAAGATCATGAACGTGAGAAACGTGAAATTAATGTAAATCTAGAAGAAACTGATACCAAAGTTACAAGTGATATTTTTGGTAAAAATACGGAAGAATTAGTAAGCAATTCCACCATAAAAGATGATCGTGACGAATGTTCAAAACAAAACGAAAACGTAAAGGATGGAATTTTAACAAATAAATCTAAAACAACTGCGAATCAATCTGAGACTGGTTTGATAGAGCCGCCGTTGATTAAAGTTAATATGTACTTGTCAGATCAGAAAATAGCAAATGCAATATCCGTAGAACCGAATATTGCTATGGGTGGAGAGTATGTTAAATTAAAGCAACGAGATTTAAAGTCCGTAGATTCCAGTGAAGATTGCAATATGTAAATATTTGGAGACCTGATTAGGAATAATGTATGCTACATAATATATGCGTGAAAACTTTATTTTATAAGTAGAAGTTAAGAATTAATTTTCCTTTATTGTTTTTATAAACTACTCATAACTTATATTGCGTACAGTAAAACAAATAACTCTATAATATACAAATATTTTTGTTCCAAGCGTACTTTACATATCAATATACAAATCATATTCTTTTACATAACCAGTATCTGTGAATGAATACAATTAATTATTCATATATTTTTACAGTGAAAAAAAGTGTACTAATTTTTCCTTATCATACCACATTTTAATAATAGATTTATTGTAATTCAGTCCCAAAAATTAATGTTAAGGAATATTTTTTAAAAAGTATCACCGTGTGCATGCATTCCCAAAAACCAATTGCATTTTCGGGAATTGGTAGAATTTGTTACTTCAGAAGAATCTGAATCGTCGTACCTTTTGAATTATTATTTATTATATTCATTAAATATTAAATGTCACCAAATTATGACAAAATGTTAAAATCAAGAAGAAATTAACACAGATTCTCTTAGCTTTTGTAACCATCCCCACTATTTTATTACGCATCCAATCCGCAATGAATTCTGTCTTAGCAATGAATAGTCAGGCAACCAGAGCAAAGCAATTTCTACTCCTGCTAACGGAATGTGCTGCAGCTGGAGTCTTGCAGAACTTGAGGTATTGTATACATATATACGGAATATGTATACACCACGGTTTTCTAAGATTTGAGGGACCTAGAAGGTCCTAAGGGATCTAAAGAGTCGTGCATTATTGCGGGAGAGTTACGGGGGTTACTTGTCGAAATCAAACAAACACATACATTTGAAACGTGTCTCAATGTGCATTGACCATCATTCGCAAATTCGCTGGCAATTGTGGTCGGGAATCCTACGAGGCGATAAGTACAAGTCGAATGTCGTGTCGGATGTTTGAAATGGAGCGCCAGGCGTACGAATGCTCGAAAAGAGTGAGATCACAAGCACGGTAAACTGAGACAAGATATATTGGTGTCGGTATGATTCGTTTTACATGTGTTGTGTTATTTCCTCTCTTTGTCATTGACTATGGGGGCAGCAATGTTCAGCAATGAATCGTCAGCCAATCAGAGCACAGCAATTCGCTGCAATCTCTCAATTCAAGAGTCTCGTTGCCTCCAGATATGGTTCTTGAATTGAGAGATTACTGTACACAATTTTTAGATAGAAGGGGACTGTGTTTGTGTGTGTAGTTGACCTGTCTCATTTTAACCCAGGATCGAACAAAGAAGTCTCAGGATCCTGTATTTATATACAATACAATTTTTGCTATTAATTTTCTTTGTTCCGTCCTGGACGGATCAACACCAGGCAATCGGTTAGGTCATTCGAGGGCCTACGAGGCCTAATCTATGGTCCCGAGAAAAGGTGTCTGACAGACCAATAAAATAAACCGACCCGCTATAACTACCTTTTTATACCGTTTACTTTACCGGTTAATAAAGGTAAATAGTTTTTTTTATTACTGCACTTTAGCCGGAGACCCAAGGTGGTCTCCAACTGCCTTCCGTCGACTTGTCCTTTTCTCAAGGCCCTAGAGCTTCGTCTTCGGAAGTGGGGGCAGGTTGGGGGTGAAACCAATCAGGCTTAAAAAATGGGCCGAACAAATTTATTAATTATATTAATTTGTAATATTAAAATAATTCAAGTACTCTCACACAATTGTAAACCTGGACCTTCTGTAAATAAACTGCGTTGTTTTAAATTACGACACAGTTCGAGCTTTTTTTACAAATCAACTCCACCGCCATTAAGTTGTCGTTGGATCTGCGCACCGTGCGATATATTCGTACGGCCCTAACATTCTTCTTATATATAATTTCATTTATTTATTATTATTTATTTCAATTTAATATGGGAAAGATTTTTCAAATAAGTTATACACAATAGTAATAATATCATTTGTTATATTTTACTGATGAAGATATCTATTATTGATTGTAATTCTTATACTTTAATAAAACAGTGAGTACATTATTCGGTAAAATAATTAGGTAAAATAACGAACACATCATTTCTTAAGTATATAATTTTTATTGATTGATTTTTTATTTATTCTATTCGAAAAAATGCACGTACGTGTAATAACTGTAAAAAGAAATCAAACTATACAAATGACGCCTGGAACCGAGCGGAGTAGTATAACCGTCATGTAATCTCTACTCTACGTTAATATGTACATAATAAGCAGGTATATACATATAACGACTAGTGGCCACGGGACCGGGCCTAAACTTTAAAAAGTACACACTGAGAAAAATGAGAGGGGGCAAACAACAGTCAATCCGTATCCAGTCACCATATCACAGTCCCTTTCTGTGTAAAAATTTCGTACATGTTCAGAAGTAGCAAATGCTGCTTCCAGATACATATGCTCTAAGTTCCGATTAAAATGAAAAAATTTCGACCAAATTTTTATTATAGAAAAACGCATTTTAAAGCCCCCTTGATCACTTCACCACAGACGGCGCTGAGATCGGAAATCCTAAAATCTTACATCGCTGTTCTATGTCGAAACTGAGCAGAAAAGTCCATAAGATGCAATGCTGTATGCATCTGTATCCTAAGTCTGCGTCTGTGCATTACTAAATCGTCAGCGTCAGCCAGCAGTGTGGACAATTCAGGACAGCAGACAGAAAATTATATTGTGTGAGACATCTGTAAAAATTGTAAATCTATGTTATAGGCTTTTTATAAGAGGAGAGGGCTTTTAGCTTTTACTTTTATGAAATTGTCCGTCTGTAATCTTCTCAATTAAACAATTTTCGCGCGCTTTTGTAAACTTCCATATTTAAGGTTATTTGCGGTTGTTAAATAACTACGCGTGGCTACCATGACTTGTAAGTAAACCTTTTAATTAATAACTGTGAAAAATGAATTAATAGAGTAGTTTTAATTTAATACAATTGAGATATGATCATAGAAAAATAATTTTCTTTTAGCATCACTTAAAATATTGGATTGGACACCTGAACACTTCATTGCTAACAGAACAACGTGTAACAAGATTCTAAATAATCCTGATGTTGTGAAGGAAATTCCTTCCCTAAATTATGTACCACTACATTATTTTAGGGACCGACAGTTGGTCAGATTTCGAGGGATGATTCAGGATATGCATAATCCTGAATATTATTTTCAACGATATGAAGTTAGAAATACTCAATCTGGTTTACATGAAACTAGAAGTGGAATGTATGCAGACTTCGCTAGATGCATGGTATTTATACAGACAATATTCTTTTTATAGCCCTTTACACAGTTAATGATCCTTGTCTCAATTCTATGGACATTTTGGATCAATGTTAGGGCTTATAGTAAATATAAATGGTAGTTACAGGTGTGAGATACTAGAAGAACAGTTTATCTCATGTATAATACTACCAACAGTGCTCTATTTATCCAATGTATTTTTCGTAATTATTGCATTTTTTAATATTATTGTTTTAACTAAAACTTTATTTAATTTATGCTTTCAATAGACACATGAAGAGATATTGTTCGAGTCTGAAAAAAACTGTAGTGCTGAAAGACATACTTGTGTTATTATATCGACACCTGGTTTGAATGAATGGGTAAAGGAAAAGTTTAAGAAACCATACTGTGAGAACTCAAGTACAGCTATGACTTTTAAAAGAAGTTTTGATCAAAATGATCATGAAGCCATGGATTGTTCTGAACCAGTTTGTAAAAAGGATAAAGTTTCATTAGATGAAGAAAGTAAAAAAATGGATACTCTAGAACACAATGAGAATAGACAAACTTTAGTCTCAAAAGAATATCTACTAAATTTGCCAATTCCAGTGGATGATGGTATAGCCTGTATTGTTAAGGTTGTAATACATTCTTTCCTGTTATTTGAAAAATAGTAGAACTGTAACCATTTGCACAGTTCATAGAAAGGCTTTTGTAATAATCTTATACATGTTTATTTACAGATATATGAAGATGCAGCTATGAAGTTGAATCAAATTATTGAAGTAATAGGTTTTGTATCTTTAGATCCACTTCTAAGTACTTGCAATATGGATGAGACAATGACAGAAGCTGAATTGAATGTACATCATCCACCTACATCTCTAGTTCCTCGGTTACATGCTGTTAAGTTAATTCAGCCTTTGGAAGCAGAAATTGAAAGAGCTCCAGACATTATGTCCAAAGCAAAACTTATACGCAGTAATCTCCATTTAGTGTTAAGTCAACTACTTTTCGGAGATCACTTAGCTGCCGATTATTTAATTTGTCATTTACTTTCGTCAATGTAGGTATTTATAGATAGATGTTTGTGCAAAATCATATAATAATAAGTACATATTAAATCGATTATTTTTTAACGTCGATATGTAAGATCTTGTCCTCAGGAGGAACTTTTGCTGATTTTGAACTTATTTATGAAATATGAATCTTTGAATTTTGTAATTTTTTTCTGTGGAAACAAACTGTTCTTGCGAATTTTCAATTATAGGAAAATTACATTAAATTTAATGCAATAATGTCTTCTATCTAAAAAATTAATTATAAAATATCAATAAGTCTTATAGATTAAAGAAAAAATGTATAACTGCAGTCCTCTGAAATGATGACGACTTACATAGATGGAAAAAGGTTATCGGTTTACCATGAAGCAATTAAACAATATTACCGAGTGGTCATTCCTTTTTAGATACATGAGAAGAGATTATTTTTGTCTTGGAACATATCCGTTAAATTTAACACATTTTTCGATTGGTAAATATAGTACATTTGCGAAAGATTTGTATAGATTTTTAACGATGTTCGTAGAGAAAAGTCACTTATTGGAAATAACTTTGGAAAATTTAAATGATTTAGCGTTATCGCCGAAGTAAGTAAATGTAATGTATTGGAAAAAATCTTTTTTAGTTGGTCGAGTATAAGTCGTATTGTGTACATACATTTTTGTTTTGTATTGCTTACAGAAAAGACTACGATTGTAATAGGTTGACCAGCGGGCTGTTTCAACTTAGTGATAATACTCATCTTGTAATAGATGAAACAGGATTAACCACAGGTCAAGTGTCACCGGCCGGCCGGGAAAACTATAATGTGATCTGTGATTTAATTAATTTCCAGAAAGTGACGTACGACTTTAAATTTTATAAGATGGAATATGAGACAGACATTCCGGTTTTAATATTATCGGAGGCCAAGTCATTTATTCCTGTGCGTAAGAAAGTTGAACAAGAATAGAGTTATGTATTTCAACTGTGTTTATAAAGCACCAGATTCAAATAATATGCACGCTTGCTTTAGTGCCAGAATCAAGTGGCGTTAAAAGTAGACGCGGAATCAAAGGACGTTTATCCTCATGTCATAGAAATTGCGGAACAATATTTAAAAGATGAAAACCGACTGGCGGATATCCGCCAATATTTAAAAATTATCAAAAGCGCCAAGTTCGAATTTGACGAAGAGATTGTAAAGGTAATAGTTGTGTGCTATCTTTTTATACACGATAGTCTTGCACATTACTTCTAATACCTTTAATTGTTTTCTGTCATTCTTCAAGGAAGTTCAGGACGATTTCGTGAAAATGAGACAAATGCATAAAAATGTGAGCATCGATCACTTACACTCATTGATGATACTGGCCAGATTGTTGTCTTTGTCGCATGGATCGAATACTTTAACCACGGAATATTGGAAAATGGCTGTACAAATGGAAGTAGAAAGATTGGGCAGATTGCCAGAGAAGAAAGAAGTTTAAATGCTACGGAGAATAGAGATGGTATATTATTAAATATATACTCTTTTTATTATAGTTTTACGTATTTTTATAGAATTTGACATTCTTCGAGCAGAATTATCGAAACATATCGAATTGAACGAAGCTATGCTTCAGAATTCATATTGAATTATTGTGCTGATGTTACTTCGGAAATCCAATAGATATCAGAGAAATTCGCTAAATTTCACTTCGCTCCAAAGCAAAAATAGCGGATATGATTCTTCGAGACAGTTCTTCAAAAACATTTCCACTCGGAAAATATTTTTAAGAAATCCTACATGGAATAATTGTGTTCCATTGAACTTTAGACGTGATCACGTGAAATTTTGGAAACATCTTGAACGTACGTTTTCCTTGTTCACAGAAACAGATTGTCAGTTGTTGTTCAGTTTATCGATCACGAGAAATCTACGCTGGCGTTCGTTCGGATTGATAAACTTGACCAGAATCGAAAACGTTTAATGAACCATTCGCATTTAGTAATTTGGCTCTCCTCTCTTCGCGTTCTTTTCGGATCAATTCGAGCCCCTTTCTCGCTGCTTGAGCGTATCTTTTGGAAAGCGCTACCTCTCCTTTCGCTCCTGGTATATGACCTGTGTAGCCAACGATTGGTGGTCTTTCGGGAGAAATTTCGTAACCTGCAAAGAGTATCATGATTAGTTAGGTTCGCACAGTGTTGATTGTCAATCGAGACTAAAGCTGTAAATAAAGCGTGAACTTCGAAACAGTTTGAATTTTGAATTGATCAAGTGTTGATTTGCAATTTATCAATTTTAGATAGTACAGTGCGATCTTACTAGATTTTTTTTATTACTTCAGATGCATATACACTGTAACGAATGTTGATCAAATTAATCTAGCTGTATTCCCAAATCTAAATGACCTTATCGAGTTTGTCTGTTCTAAGTTCCTTGTGAGATAAAAACATGTATGAATATGAATTGATGATATTTTTTAATATACTCATTGAGTTAAGAATGTTGCACATCTATAATTCATTACGTTCAGTACAACTTAACGTTCGATCTGTTTGATCAATTCAAACTCTTACAGCTTTAATCGAAACAGTCACGAAATAGGTTGCAAGAAACATACTGAACGTGACTAGATTTTGATCGTGAGCATGATCGACTTCGTTGAGGGCGGCGATGTTGTCCTCCCTCGCTCTAGACATGAGGTTTCTTGAGTCGCGTCTCTCAGCGCGCGCTTTTGTAAGATCCCTGCGTGCTCTTAGTTTACTTTGATTCTCACGCCATTCCTTACCGCCTTCTTCCACAGCTCTCATAAACGACAGGCCATACCTGCTATTAAATCCAGGAATATATCCTATAATTGAACGATTCAAGATATCTTAATGTGTCCGTGCAACGATGCAACTTCGAATGGGAACGAGCAAAATCAAGAAATTGTTTAATAGGATATGCCCATTCAGCAAAATACAAGAAGCGTGCATTTTCTAGAACTTTTGTATGAATACCAATAAATTTTATTTTGTAAGTTTTTGTAATAATTTTGTAATAATCTTTTTAACATGAACAAATGAATGTACAACATGCTAACAGATGAATGGTAAGGAATTTATGACCGGTTTAAAAAGCGTTCGTTTTCGCGTGTACACAAAATCTATTGCGAGGCAAAAGGAAATTCTGTTGAACAATACATTCTTTTCTAAATCTGAAATAAGACTACAACATTTGAAACAAGTTGACCCAGTTATCCATATTTAGAGTGGAAGTACTTCTAAAAGTTGGCGACAAAAAGAATATTTTCTATATTATTACAAAAACTCTTCGTGCTAGGAAAGATTGTTAAAATCACAAATTCAATTTCTTTAAAAAATTTCTTAAGCTATTAGTTTTATATATTTTTTGTTACGTATATAATTAAACATACATCTAATTTTCTAACTTTTTGTAGATTGCATCATTAACTTCCCGATCTTCCTAGATTATTAATTTGCAACTTCAACAACTTCTTTGGAAGTACAAAATAAAAATCTTCATAGTATATGAATTTATTATATTGGTCTATAATATATACAGTAAATTCTCTCCAATTGTTCCTCAGCTTGTAAACAAAAATGGACAATTTGGGAAGATGAGATACGATTATTCGAGCCTTGCGGCTTGTTTTTATAGTTGTTGACAATCGGTAACTATAGAAACGAGCTGTGGGACTCAAATAATCGTATCTCTTCTTCCTAAATTGTTCATTTTTGTTTACAAGCTGAAGAACAATTGGAGAGAATTTACTGCATCTATAAGTTTTCGTAGATATGAAATAATTTGCGGAAAATATAGATCTAAAAAATTAATCACTTCTTGAGAAAACTAATTATCTAGTTAAATTTGCAATTAAAGTTTTATTAAATGGATATGGATTATTATAAATCTTCAGAGTTAAGTTAAAGTTTACGTGCTATAGTTGAGAGTAATATTTTTTTATAGTGAACTGTCTAATCTAATAAGCTGGATAAGTACGAATACAAAGCGTGGAAAATCTTTATAAAGATCTTAGTAGTTTTAATGGTTGCTAGTACAAAAATTTCGCGAAATGATAAAAATGATTTGACGAGTGGTATGGAAATAATGCATTTTGGCGTCATGACAGTACATAGAAAAGGTGGTGGGAGTGAAAAAGCTGGGGTTGAGCTGAAAGAGAGAGAGAGAAAAGCTGTATATTTTAATTGTTTTCATCTCACATAATAAAAATCATGAAGTAAATCTTTAACGCGTATTTTTTCAAAATGAGATTTTAAAAAAAAATTTCGATAATTTTCAACTAATTCACTTCGCACTATCATAGTTAAAAAGGGCAAAACCTCAAATAAAAAAATGTTCTTCACTTTCGTTCTATTTTTTTTATCGTCGTCAATTACGTCGGGATGAATCAAAGACATATGAAACTGTAAGACTTCATTAACGCTACAATTTTGACACTTTTAACTCGGAGAGTTTGAACAATGAATGAATTAAAAATCCTTTTGTAATATCAATTGTCTTCTACAAACTGTTGCGGTTTTCGCTAAAATGAAAAATAACTAGATAGTTTTATTACGGTATGTGTCTGAGTATAAAATACTTTGTCCGAGTATTTAAGCGACCACGAGGAACGAGACGCGCAGAAGTCAGGAGGTGTAGCCCTCGTGATTTGGATGTTGCATGCTCGATAATTTCGAGCGTTGATGTAAAGCATGATCGCTTGGCATGGAACGGTCTTTACATGTTCATACAGGATGTTTTATAACCGATGGTTCAACTGTGAATTTTATGCATTTATGAACAAAATTAATAGATCATATACGAAACAACGAAAATGTTTAAAGAGACTTTCACACAACTATTACAATAATTTAAATTTATCAAATCTATCAAAAGAAGACGTGTATTTTATCACGGAACTCCTATCCCTTGTTATTAGTACATTAAATTTTGATTTTGCATAAAGATCCGCAGTCTACCTATAATAATAGTGTAGAAAGTTCAGCTTTTTAATAACTGTTTCAGTCAGAATCGATCTCTGTCTCAAACTCTTACGGCCTCATCAATTTTACTGGATTTGACATTAACAACTGCTTAGGAATGTTGCTTATTTTTGTGTTCTAAAAGACTTAATACCTATATAAAACAAGAGAATGAGATGAAACTATGATTTTTGTTATCTCTGAGTGGGCATACTCCCTTAAACCATTCGAGCTGTTTGAATGGTTTACCCGTGTATCCCAATATGTACGGAGGTGCTTTGAAGAGGTGCGCCTCATTTTTCCAATCTCTCCGGATGTCGTCCTTCTCGCATAGAACCATTCCGTTCGGCTCCATCCTTCCCGAATTCGGCCTATAAGGGCCGGTCTTGAGGATCTTTTTTTCGAGCAGTTCCTACGTGAATCGCAACATACGCGTATAGAAACAATACGAACACCTCTTCGAAAGGAGATCATCGCCTTTATTCCACCAACCTTCATGATTTCCTCCGTACTCGCTCCAAAGCGTTTTCCGACTTGAAACTTGAGAGTAGGACAATGTCCGGTGTAGCTAAATCAACAAAATAGATACGATAAACATCGAACGACCGTCTATTTTGCTATGACAAATCAACTTTAAGACTGAGTACTTTTATGCAGAGCGACAACAAATCAGAGCAGTTCATGAAAGTATTCGACTTTACGGTATATGAAATGTGTATAGTATTTGACGGAAGTAATTAACATATTAACTATCGACGATTGTGTGATTGTGTGTTATTTAGAAATGTATGATTCATAGTTAAAGCTTTAAGATTAGGCTTTAGTTTAAAGCTTCTTTTTTTCAATAACAACATCTATCGAAGATGGCAGGTATCGACTGATACCTGCATTTATTTATTTATGAAAATAACACGATTGCATATATTCAGATTTTATGCAATTTTTACTGTAATATATACACGAGTAAATCAATTTATTTAGCAATTTAAAACGAGTATTAAAGCATTGAGGTAAAATAACACAAGGTAATGTACGAGCTCCTTAGTTGACAACTGAATCAAGTCCCTTTTTAACTATCGTAAAAATTGGAGTTCATAGTGTAATATTGTACGAAAAATTAAATACAAAATGTAAGTTTATTGTAACAAGATAAAGCGAAGGAGTAGTAATTATGCCATTATAATTTAAAATGAAATCTATATTTTTTCAATAATAAACAAACAGTAACGGAACGAATAATGAAGTGTCATTATTGCATTGAATTATGATACCACTTCTTTCTGAGAAAGTGACTTACGCTATATGGCTATTAATGTATTAATAATCATAAGTTACACAAATGTTATTTTTAATACACTACAAGATGTACTGTATACTATACTGCATTATTTCAAGCATCGATGTCCAGTATTGGACTTCGTATTAGACTTTGATGATTGAAATAATGCATGGTATAAATCGTAGGAATTTTCAGAAAATCTCACTTCTTTCTTTTATGTTTGTTTACAATGGCCGAGCATGCTGAATATTCAATATCTTAAATTCAACATCCCGAGAAATTATAATTTTATACAAAAATATTGAATTATTTCCAACGTTCATAGCGTAACTACCGAATGGTGAACCAATTTACAGTTTGTACTAATGTATCTTTTTTACGCTTTGTTATTGATTGTTCTAGCTATTTAGTTGAACAAATTCGTTCGTTTTCGTTTCATAATCCAGGGCTCGGAATTAACCAGCACGCAACACGAGGATCGCGAGGGCTACGCCTCCTGACTCTCATCGCGCGTCTCGCGCCCCAGTGATCGCCTAAATACTGCCCACGCCCATATAAAGCAGCAGGCATATATGCCCGACGTGCTCCGAGTCGAAAGAGACGACCACGGCGAGCAAGACGCGCGATGGGAGTCAGGTGCCGTAGCCCTCGCAATCATAGTGTTAACGTGCTGTGTTAATTCCGAGCCCTGTCCTAGATCATTGGAGCTGGGGATCCTTTTGTCAATATTTAATAATAATTTAAATAATTATAAATAATAATTAAATAATTAAATAAATAATATAATAATGTAATAATATAATATAAATAATAATAATAAATAATATAATATAAATAATATAATATAAATAATAATAATAAATAATTAAATAATTTTTAATAATTAAATAAATAATTATTAAAAATAATAATTAATTATAATAATAATATTAAAAATAATTTATTCATTTTGATTTAAAAATAATGATTATCTACCCGAAAATAATTTATTAATTTTCATTTAAAAATAATGATTGTATGTTTCAATTCATTTATTTTGATTAAAAAATAATGATTATATATTTGAAAATAATGATTTATTTTCTATCTAATATAAAATTTACATTATATTCCAAATCATACCGTGAGACAACATCATTGCATATAATTCTGACACGTGGAAACGAATTTTGAATCGTTTTGCTTGCAACGTGACTATCCCAAATGTACCGTTATCGTACAAATCGACATTGCTGCAAAGCTATATTAACAATATACATAACGAATGTATGTTGAAGACCCTTAAAAATAATCTTGACTGTACCAACCTGTTACTGCACGAATCTCCGTTATCTATCATAAATAAGAAAAGTGCCGACACTTTTCTCATACACATTTGAAAATGAATTGCTTACGAGAGGTAGAGATAGCACTTGTCGTGGTTGCAGAACTTCAACGATCACGATTACATTTCGTCCGGCAGCGAGCGCTCGAATTTTGCTCGATCGCAAGGAACGGCCGCTTTCTAAAACAATGCGCTCGACAGAGCCGTAAACGCGGACTACCGGTGACGGTGACCTAATAAATCGAAACGTGATGCCGTGACGATCAGCGACGTGACGCGTCCGTCATTGGCCGACGACGACGGCCCCGTCGTCCGGATCGAGCGGAATCCTTCTCTCGATCCGCGGTACTCGCGCGAAACGACCTTCGTCGAGATGAAATCGATCCCGTTTGCGATCGCGTGGCGCGCCCTTAATTCCCTTTTTGGGGGCTGCGATAATGGCACACTTCGATTTTTCTATCCGAGCGATTCGCGTTTGAAACGAGCGCATCGTTATCTCGGAAACGTACGTTACCTTGATGCAGAAGTTTCTGTTTCGAATGGATCAACACGCACGCAAAACCGTCGATCGACCGGAGCCGCCGCCGCGGGTGAGCAGAGGACGCGCAGCTAAATCGCCGGACGAAACGTTTTGGTGTCAGGACCGGTACCAGTTACCGGTGTTTCGTTGAAATTTTGCTTCGCGTTCCTCGCGAAGGAATTTGCCCAATGGTTATCGCGTGTATACTCGAGACAATTAACCGGGGATGATATAATGCCTGCTAATCCGATTAGTCCTTTTAACGCGGGCCAACGAGAAAATGCGAAGCTGCTACACAGCGGGCTAAAATTGTCGAAACACGAATGTTGGGCAAACATTATTTTATTGTTATTACGTTTGTTATTATTGTTGTAGATTTACTGTACACGGATTTTCGACGAAGGTACAAATAAGATGGTATAAAGATAGTGAAGGAAACAGGAAAGGGAAATGCATAAAATGAATTGAAATAGAAAATGAAATAGAGAGAAGAAGAAATATATGCAACAGGCGAAAATATACGTAAAATATTAGAGGTGTGCGCGGTATAACAGAATTTTTATCCGATTACTCGAGTTTGAATCGTTTTTTGAATCGAACTACGGTGAAACCGATTCCAGCGGTGAAGATTTATCAGAGAGAGAGAGAGAGAGAGAGATGCTAATATATGTTGTATATTTCGAACTTTTTTATCGAGTACTTAAAATTGTTTATAAAATTATTTTGTTTATAAAATCGTCATTAGGATCGGATTCTACAAGTCTGAAAACGTATAAAATAGTTTTATTTCGTAATGAATAGCGAATATATTATAATATTAATATATTATTATTATATTATAATATTAATATATTATTATTATATTATAATATTAATATATTATTATTATATTATAATATTAATATATTATTATTATATTATATTATTATTATATTATTATATTATATTATTATTATATTATTATATTATATTAAATCCACGTTTTAACGATTTTAGCCCGCTATGCGTTGCCCGCGAGCGAGCCTTGTCCTTACCCGGGCAGATGAGCGCCATAACTCTGTCCAAAGAAGCGTTTCTTTTCTTCTTCGGCGATCGGATCGAAAACCATGTTGTTGGCGTACCGCCAATCGAACGTACGCGCCTTTAACGTGCCATTACGTACGATTCCGCGAATTCAAGGATTCGTGCGAGTCTGTCCGCCTGCTCTAGAAATCCAATCCGACCGTGTCTCAATACGTGCGTATGCACACTATCCTCCATAAGTATTTCAACACTTCTGGACTAGATCTATATTACAGACGAATTACACGTCACACTGGAATTTTTAAAGCAACTTGTCGACCGTCATAAATAGACTGCGGATTTTTATGCTTTTATGACATGTTGAATGTGCCACGAAAATATATAAATTAAGATGTGTATAAGAGACAGATATAATAATATATAATATAATATATAATATAATATATAATATAATATATAATATAATATATAATATAATATATAATATAATATATAATATAATATATAATATAATATATAATATAATATATAATATAATATATAATATAATATATAATATAATATATAATATAATATATAATATAATATATAATATAATATATAATATAATATATAATATAATATATAATATAATATATAATATAATATATAATATAATATATAATATAATATATAATATAATATATAATATAATAAATATATATATATATATATTATATATATATAAATATATAAATTAACAAGGTCTTACAAAATTCCGATTTTCTCCTTACAATGAGTAATCTTTTAGATGTCGAGGAAATTTTTTTCTTTAATTCGAATCTTTGTAAAGCGACCCACAAAAACAAATATTTCCATAAAGGTCCGCAGTCTAAATGTGGTCCGCAGTGTAAATCTTTCAATTCAACTATCTAGCAATTGTATGTCTATATCGTTATTGTTCGTTTGAGATTCTTTTAATATTTTCTAGGGAATCTGAGAAGATAATCAGGGGTAATCGCATAGCACTGGGTAAATGCTGTTCTTTTTATTTTAATTCTTGTCAATATTTTGGGACGGTAAATGTGTATCTTATTATGTGCTGGGTAAAAAGTTATTTTCTAAATAAATCTCTTATTTTTACAGGTAATTCAATGAATTTGCCTCAATATACAATTTCGCGAAAATTAAATAACCTTTAAATATCTTACTTACTATTAATAATAGGAAAACATGATACAGGAAAACATCATTAGGTTTAAAATAGCAAACACATTATAACACAGGGTGAGACAGTAAAAACTGTTACCTAGAATAATTCGGTATCTATTAGATATATCGAAAACTTCCTCATTCAATTACGTAGCTGTTTTGAGTGATTTTTTATAGTATTTCGTTTTTTTCTGAAATATCAAGGTGATCTTTCGTTTTTTGAAAGTTAATTGATCTTTTCTTTTAATACCACTTTGTTGCCGATGCAAGGACGAATTTAGCGACTTACAATGTGACGATCTTGAGTTGATCTTAATTCCCAAAATAGTGAAAATAGAGAAATCGATCAAGAAAATTGATTTTAGAATAATATATCGGTGGTAATGGTTATCATTTTTAGCTAAAATTAATCTTCTTTTACGATTTTTCTATTGTAATTACTTCTAATCAAATGTACCTATCTCAATTTAGTTTTAGTATTCAAGGGGTATTAGGGGTTGTTGCATTCATCCTGATTTTGACTATTACGTGACGTTACCAAACATATGCAATCTCGTTTAAAAACATTTTCCTTCGCCATTTATATTCGCTCTTTCAAACTTAATCACGTTTCACTCCGGTAATTTTCCTATTATCAGTAATAAGTGAAGTATTTTCAATGCCAATGTTAGATGTAACATCCTGGGCATACTGAATTTACATAGCCATGTGTAAAAAAATAGTTCTAGTTTCGAAATTTTTAGTCCATAGTTTTGTAACTATAAAATTTATTGGAAATTACAAATTGGTTCTGAATATGATTACAAAATACAATTTATTTCTGAAGAAAATGCGACTCGACGACGAACAAACTCGATTGTATCGAGGAATAATTTGACTGGCGTCGTTTGTAAATATCTTTTAATAGAAGCCTCTTATGCTAATATATAGGGCGATACAACCGGAAATTATGATACATAAACAAAGATCCATGTGTGCTAGCATTATAAGAAGTAGAATCATAATTTTCATGTCATGTTTCTCGAAAATGATCCTCCAAATTGAAAATTGCTATTCAAAATTTTTGTCTTATTTTTTTAAATAGAATCGCCTCTATCGATTGTACCATCTGTTTATACAACACCCCGTATAAATACTTTATTAATTATTTTATCATATAAATATATTCGTCAAGCAGTTAGTCGGTACTGGATTTCAAATTTTCAACCGCTTCATTTATATAAACTGCAATCTTTGAATCGTGTTAATTGTCGTTTCTGACTGTCATATTTAAGAAAAAATATTTCCACTTTTTTTTGTAAATATCTATTTATATTGGAAATTATTTGCTCTAAATTTGATTCTTGCTAACGGTAAGACTAACCCAAATTACAACACAGGAACTAAAAATGGTCAGATAGCTTGACAATTCTCTCCGTTCATGATTAGGATATTTATTTCTATTTCAGTTTACTATACTATACTTTAAACGATGCAAGTAGCGTACCGTTTACATTACACGACGGTAACCGTTTCTTTGAAAGGAATAACTTGAATATTCATGTTTCATAATTAATAGGTCAAGTATTCAAATACATATATTTGTACGCTAAGAATTATTACTTCGAAATTTTTCCAAACAATAGAAAGCAAAGGAGAAATTGTTAGATAACAATTGTACAGTAAAATGAGGGCTATTGTATCAATAATAATTTTCTACGGCTGAGGTAGCTTTCAAGATGATCTTATAGTTTTAATGAAATAGCGAAATCCTAAGTCGCTCGAACTGT